TGTGTGTGTGTGTGTGTGTGTGTGTGTGTGTGTGTGTGTGTGTGTGTGTGTGTGTGTGTGTGTGTGTGTGTGTGTGTGTGTGTGTGTGTGTGTGTGTGTGTGTGTGTGTGTGTGTGTGTGTGTGTGTGTGTGTGTGTGTGTGTGTGTGTGTGTGTGTGTGTGTGTGTGTGTGTGTGTGTGTGTGTGTGTGTGTGTGTGTGTGTGTGTGTGTGTGTGTGTGTGTGTGTGTGTGTGTGTGTGTGTGTGTGTGTGTGTGTGTGTGTGTGTGTGTGTGTGTGTGTGTGTGTGTGTGTGTGTGTGTGTGTGTGTGTGTGTGTGTGTGTGTGTGTGTGTGTGTGTGTATTTTTCATTTCGTCAAAGGACCATGATCATCTTTTCATCAAATGCTGCTTCTTGATGCCCAGAGTCGAACTGGATTGCTGCTGTGGGCGAGGACGATACGAATCGAACACGACCGTACTGATGGCGGGTCGAAATCAGCCGCCCCGTTTCACGGCTCCCCCTGAGACTCGGGTGTATCGACCCACGCTCACTCAATTTGTCGACCCCATGCGCTACATTGAGAGCATTCGCGCCGAGGCCGAAACCTATGGCGTCGTCAAGATTGTGCCCCCCACGGTGCGACTCGACCGCGTCGTGAGACAACTCCTGCCCTTGCCCAAGGGGAGGGATATAGTCGCGCTAATGAACGCTGATTAGCCCGCACCCCCCTTTCTCAAACCACCACTCTGACCCTTTTGGTCGCAGCCTCACCGCCCGGGCCCCTCGCATGCCCCCGGTTATTAGGGCTGGAACATGGAGTTTGCCTTGAGTGACGACTCCTTTCACTTCCAACCTCGTGTCCAGGTTCTGTCTGAATTGGAAGGCCAAAGCCGGGCGCGCAATGACTTTTTGGAGCGCCTTGAGGAATACTGGCGGCTTCAAGGCTCCAAACTGCGTGACGCCCCGGTTATCGATGGCCAACCCATTGACCTCTTCGCCCTGTACAAGGTCAGCCCGACCCCGAGCTGATTCTTCACTTGACACAACCAAATGAGCACGGCTGCGCATATAGTGCCATCTCAACCTCTCATACCAATGGCTGCATTCCCAGGCCGTGGCCAAACTGCCCAATGCCCCCACCAAACAGACCTGGCTCGGATTGGCAGCGCAGGTATGAGTCTGGCTCTGCGCTGCTTGCTGGCATACGCCCCCCCCCCGGTCTTTGTTGCATGCAAAGGACTCATTCGCGCCTTGGCTTTCTGCCTTATTCGCTCTCAGCTGGGATTAGCGCGTCGCAACAGCCGACGTCTGCAGGTCATCTATGAACGCCAAATTCACCCCTTTGCTGTATTTGAGGCCCGACGTCAGGCTGGCACCATCAGCCTTACCCATGAACAGCCACGAGCCACTATCGAAACAAACCAGCCAGAACCAGTAGGCACAGGTGCGAGCTGTTCGGACCAACCACGCCCATCTTTCTGGACCGCACATGTGCCACGTGCGCCTGGTTCCTCTTCTTGCTTTTCGCCATTTTTTTCTCCTCTTTTTTCCCCCCCTTTTTTCTTGCATCAAGCCGACTGTTGTTCCGCTGTTCTGACTTGCTTTAAGAACGCGCCACACTACTGGCTTTCCTCGTTTATCTTGGCTTACAAGCGGGCATGCCTGTCTTGACCCTGGATGACATGATAGAACAAGGGACAGGCGTGGCTCCGCATGCCTCGCCCGATGAAGCTGGCTTGCCCGTTGCCTCGTCTCCGTCTCTGACGTCCTCGCTCGCACGCAACAAGGACCACATTTCACCGAGCAAGCGCAGCAAGCGCCAGGGTCCTGTTGCGCCCGCTGCTGGCCAGCCCATATTACTCGCGCATGGAGGCCATCGTCCACCCATGGGCTCAGTCGAAGCTAATCTGGGCGACGAAGCTTGCGAAGAGTGTCGCATCGGCGACTACGCCAATGCCATGCTGCTCTGTGACAGTTGTGATCGAGTTAGTGAAGCTGCACTTGCCGCCATTTGTCACCTCCAAGGCTTCCGTGGCACAACCTGCATTCAATAGCACCCTGATTGCCTTTCCGTCTGATGATGTGATCCCGTTGTGCTTAGGGGTACCACCTCTTTTGTCTCAATCCACCGCTTGAGGCCGTGCCAAAGGGCGACTGGCTTTGCCCTATTTGCACGGCGCGTCGCTATGCCGCGAAAGAAACTCCCGATTACGGCTTTTACGATAGCGAAAACAAGTATACCATCAAGGTACGCACGCACCCGGATCAAACCGCCGTGGTGATTGTGATGCCAGATCATGCGCCTAGCTTTGCAGGCTGGCGCTTGTGACGCTCAATCGCATCGCCCCGCCTCTTGCCGTGGCTTGGCAGTGTGCTTGTTTGCTTTTATGTTTCACTTTTGCTTTTGTTTTCCTGCGGGTTCTTGGGTTTGGTTTCTCACTTTTGACTCACCCGTGGTGTGTTCTTGTCTGCTGCTCCCAGAGTTTCCGCAAGCGGTGTGAGCAGATTGAGCGCTTGTACATTCGAAACCGCGGAGGTACCATGCCGTTGGCCGAACGCGAGCGCGTTTTCTGGGCCGCCGTCTCCTCGCCGTTTCACTACGCCAGGGCCCCCATCAAGGTATTGTTGGTATTCTCGGCCCGACCTCGCAGCCGTCTCACTTGATGACACATCACATCAATTCTAGCATTGTTCATGCCCGCCGCCCTGCTCACATTGTGTTCCTGTACTTTCGGGTGGGTACGAACTGCAGGTGGAATATGGCGCCGACTTGCCCACTCTGGAAGTGGGAAGCGGGTTTCCCACTGATGAACAGCACTTTGCCAATCGCGGACGCAAGATCTCTCGCAGCCGTAACGCTGTAGCCGCTCAAAACGGCTGGAATCTCAACAACCTGCCTCTCCATCACCGTAGTCTTTTTTGCAGCATTGCTGAGCCCATCTCCGGTGTCAAGGTGTGTGTGTGTGTGTGTGTGTGTGTGTGTGTGTGTGTGTGTGTGGTGTGTGTGTGTGTGTGTGTGTGTGTGTGTGTGTGTGTGTGTGTGTGTGTGTGTGTGTGTGTGTGTGTGTGTGTGTGTGTGTGTGTGTGTGTGTGTGTGTGTGTGTGTGTGTGTGTGTGTGTGTGTGTGTGTGTGTGTGTGTGTGTCACGACCCCGCCTCCCGTGACTCTGCCATGTGCTCATCACGTTTTCTGCCGTTGTCTGATGTTCTCCCTGTTTGTTTTTCGTTGTGGACGCTGTAGGTCCCCTGGCTGTACGTTGGCCAGCTGTTTAGCTCTTTCTGCTGGCATATCGAGGACCACTGGACCTACTCAATCAACTACATGCACTTGGGAGAACCCAAAACATGGTATGGGATACCTGCCAGCGACGCCGAGGCCTTTGAACGTGCCATGATCGCCAGCGCCCCGGAGCTGTTTGCCCGCAAACCCGAACTGCTACACGATCTCGTCACGTTAGCCTCGCCTCAATACCTGATTGACGCCGGCGTGCGCTGCTTTCGCACCGATCAAAACCCGGGCGAGTTCATCGTCACATTCCCTCGAGCCTACCATGCTGGCTTTAACATGGGTTTTAACGTGGCCGAAGCCGTCAACTTTGCGCCTGCGCATTGGCTGGCCACGGGACGGCGCTGCTTTGAAGCCTATCGCCATGACGGCCGCCGACCCACCTTCAATCACTGGGAGTTTGTACTCCAGGCTGCGCAATGGTACCGTGATCACCCGGAATCATTGGATGGGGACGCCGCTGCGTTTTTGTTGGTGGAGTTGTTGGAGCTTCAGCGCCACGAGCAGAGTGTGCGTCATCGTGTGCCTCACGTGATTGAGGACACCGCGCTCCATGAGCAGCCCGACGACGACCGCATCTGCACTGTATGCAACACGACGCTTTTCGAGGCACATGTTCGCTGTGCGTGCCGGCCGGGCTGGCGGTGCGGAGACCACGCACCTGAATGCGAGCCCCGTTCTCAAGCCCCCGTTGCAAACGCGAGCACCTCATCTGCGCCCACCTCTCTTCCTGGATCCCCGGCAACCCCGTCCCATTGTCGGGGCTCAACGGCATCTCCCATCTCAGCCGGTGCCCACGTCGCATCCGAGGAAGATGATGACCTGGCGCCGCCTAATTTGGTCACGTCAAACAGCGATGGGGATGACCGGGACAACACTGGAACACACCCGGGATGCGGTCGCGGCTGCACTGCAGCTCAAATGTCAGCTCGCAGTGGTATTAGCTTCTCAGATCTTGCAGCTTTGATTGATGAGTGCGTTCGCCCTGTCAGCCGAAGTTTTCACGCTTGGACGCAGGCCGCTCTTCTTGCACACCCACGGCAAGGATGGATGGCCCAGGTCGCCAATGCACCTGGACGCTTGTACCTGCGTGACTGTGGTGACCGCGCTGAGGTCGGCCCTGATTTGGTAAACGCCCTCCGGCTGCCCGCCTTTGTTCCTGGTGCCGAGCCTGTTGAAGTGTCTGGACTATCAGTGCGAGATGAATCTGAGCTCGATGAGGGGGACAACGGAAAGCGTGTGGCAGACCTGCCAGATGCACTGCCAGCTCTTGAGCGCTTGAGCGCCGTTGGCAACGACGTGGGTGCCGGCATTAGCATGGATCGGGAGCGCCTCACAGCCATACCTTTGACATGGCGCCACGACCCCATGGTCTGTGCCGTTCAAGCCTTTGTCCGTCGCTTTGACACGCTGGCTCGGGACGTGGAGGCCTATGCCCATTCATGCAGCGCATCCACCCGGGTGTCCTTGCGCACCGTGGCCGATAATATGGCCGGAGAGAGCGCGGTACCTTCCGTTCTGGCCCAACCTGGCAGTAAGAAATCGCTGTCCCATGGACCTTGGGCCGATGCCCTCAGCCTCACGCGCCGTGTCCTGGCTATGGGGGACCGGGGTCTGGCCCACGCCCTCGTGGAACCTGTGCGGCAGGTCCGCCAGTGGGATGCCGAACTGAAAGAGGCGCCCTTGCTTGACGCCTCACGTGAGGTGTTGGCCGAGTGGGAGGCGCGTGTGTCATCTGTACCAGACTTGGCTGTCGCCTGGCTCAGACAGGTTCGGGAGGCACAGGAAGCTCGTATCTGGCTTGACGAGTGTGTGGAAATGACTGAAGCTCTGGGACCGGAAGCAGCGACACTTCCTACTCAGGATGCAGTTCAGGCCGTGCTGGCTCGTGGTCGCAAGCTATGCCAAGTACTTGGCGACAAGGAACCTTTGCGGGAGGCGTTTGAGCAACTTCACACGCGATACCTTGAGGCTCAGGCCTGGGATCAGCGCGCAGCTGCTGTGTTACACTCGCGCAGCCTCGCGACCTGGCCCATGCTATCAGAGCTCGGCGAAACATGCCCGTGGGTGGGCAAGACGAGTCTAGCACTGGAGCAGCGCCTGGAAGATGCCCGGCGCTTCGCCCGACGATGCCACGAGCTTCTGATCTTTCCCGCCGATGGGCCAGACCCCTTGACCTATGAGTCCAATCCAACGCTGCACCTTCCCCGCAACGTGCGCACTTTGGATTACGCGGTCTGGCAACGCGCACTGGAACTGTATGAGCGCGCCCAGCTTTATTTACCACGTCTACGCCGTGCCTTGGACATCATATGCAGTCCCAATGAGAAATTGGCCAAGGCCTTTGCCAAGGCCGTGGTTTGCAAGCCAGTGGTGCGCAACTCCAATGGCGGTGGCGCGATCGAGGCCTTGCGCGAGACCCTGCGATGGGATGCTGATGCCGTGCTGAAGGCGCGCAAGGATAACGCGCAGCGCGAGGTGCGCGAAGACGACTTTTGTCTTTGTGAGGGTCAGCGAGGAGGGCGCATGCTTCAGTGCTTGGTCTGCGACGATTGGTATCACGCGCGCTGTGTGGGGATCAGAGCCAGCCAGGCCGACGACCTTCGCTATGTGTGCCACGTTTGTCAGCCTGTGAGGCCCGTGATCGAACCGGCCGTGTGGTCACTGGTCGAGCTCTCGGCAGCCTGTAGATTGGATAGCGCTGAGCGAGACGTGATTGCCATTCTCATGGAATCGCTGCTCATGTGGCGAGCTAGCGTGGCGGACATGGATCGCCTCTCTGCGATTGACCGCAATTTGCTAGTCGCCCAAGGAGACCGATTACCCATCGACTTTGGTATGTGCTGTAGCAATGCTCTCGACCGCGCATCAACCAGAGCATCTCTTTTCGGGCCCTTTGTAGTAAGCGTGCAAGGGCTGACTCACCGAATCTGATCGACACATTGCAGAGGAGGAGGTCGCCCGCGTGGCGCTGCGCGCAGGCGTCGAGGCAACGCCCGAACTCGACGGCGATGCTGGTCCAGGCCCACTGGTTGACAGTCACGCCTTGGTGTTTGGGGGACCGGCATCCGCCAGCCCATTGCCCAATCTTGTCGAGGGCAGCCCAAGTGAAATGGAGGTAGTGTTTAGCCTTGGAAAAAGTGTGCACGTAGCTTGGCCAAAGGTGCCAAAGAAGCCCGCGCTCAATTGCCACTTCCTTGTGCGCGCAGAAATTGTATTGCGTGTGTCGCCGCAGTGACATCCAGGGCATCATGATTGGCTGCGACGGTTGTGATGAGTGGTACGTCTACGTGCAGCAGAGCTGCGCAAAGGATGCAATCGACCCGCCCTCCTGCGCTCGGTCTGTTCAAGTCTGATCAGACGTGGCTGCTGTAGGTTCCATACCGCCTGCCTGGACCTGCTGGATACGCAAGCGGAGGAGTTGCCATCCTTTTTTTGTGCACGTTGTCAGCTGCGACGGCCCCTTGCACCCCCCGAGGCCAGCTTGAGAAAGTCGTCACAAAGTGCCACACCACTTGCAAAACGACACAAAACCACCTCCCGTGATGCCGAATACTGCTATTGTCACGCCCAAGCTGATGGCTGCATGGTCATGTGCAACGGCTGCCACGACTGGTGCGTTCTCCCTGGCGGCTGCGCAAGCATATACCGATGCATCACTTACACTTGCCGATCCTTGTAGGTTTCATGATCGGTGTGTGGCCCTGCAACCAGAGGAGCTTGCGCGCCTCGAGACTTTTGTTTGTGTTCACTGCCAGCGCCAGTCCCATCGCCCCTAACGTCCCAATCATAACAATCAATCCGTTCATGTCACTCAGATTCTTGATCTATTCTGAATGTGTGTGTGCGCGCATACAGCAGTCAAATTTCTGACAATCGACTTTATCTAATCAAAATGTAATTTCTGTTACACTGCGTGACGCGCCTTGACAACCCAGCACAAAAGCCAATTTTCTTGCTCTGATTTTCTCTCACCATCGTCTTCTTCCTCTCCTCCTCCTCCTTCTCCGCAACGGGCTGGAGTGTGTCCAAGCGTTTGACGGTCAACTGGCTGGTCTGGTTTGACTTGATCTGTTGCTCTTTTCAAATCGATACGCGTGCAGGAGCCGCTGGTGGCAGCGATCTGCTAGCCAGCCAAGCTATCGTGTGCGACCTGTCACCATGGACGTGAGTCCCCGCCTCAGCTCGTTCCTTTCCTCGCCGCTGTTAGGACCTGACGGGTTGACTCATGTGCTTTTGCATGCTACCAACGGCTGCTTGGGTGGTGGCTGCACGCACTCGCTTAGGGAGCACGCCGCGCGTCATTGCTGAATGCCGGCATGCTTAAGGATGCTTTTGTCGTCTCTGGCAGCAGCAAGGGCGTGGATTCGAACGCGCCCAAAGCCCGGGTAAGTCAAAAATGCGTGTGAGTCTGGGTTGTGCTCGGCACGATGAGCAGGTATGCTGAAGCTCACAACAGTTGTTTGCCAACAATGCCCCGACAGGTCAAGGCGGTTGCTGACATCGTTCGCACTGAAGACAAAATCACGCTCAAACACATGAAGGTGCGTGCCTGCTTCATCGCGTCTTATTGAGCGTCGCAAATGCCATGTCCCAGCCTCTGATGCGCCTGCGCAATCTTGATACCATAGACGCTCATGCAGACTTTTGCCGACCATGACTTTGAGCTCACGGTGGAAGACTTTGCACAAGCCTTGGGCGAGGTATGCCCCGCTCTGGCTCGACGCCTCGAGTCTGAAATTCACTCACAAACATTCCGTGGGGTCGGTGTTAGCTGGATGTACTGCAAGGTGATGATGATGTTCAGCGTCGCGCCGATATCCTTATTAAGAAAATGGATGTCAAGCAGACGGGCATCATTCGCTGGGACGACTTTTGCTCACACTTCATGCAAGACCTCGCGGAGAAACATCAACTTGAGAATGAACGCGAAGTGCCCGTACTCGTATGCCCCCACTTGTTCGAGACCGCACATCGGGGCACGCTTCGTCGCATTTCCAGCTGTACCAATCCCAATCGCATTGTAACTGCCTCTGAAGAAGGAGCGATTGTTTTTTGGAGCTACAAAATGCATCCCCAACGGTGTGTTCTTTCTTCCCTTCCTACGCGCTTGCCCTACCCCGCTGCATTTTGCGGCATGCATTCGTCAAAAGTTATGGCTGCTCACAGCCCTCTTACCTGTTCTGTCTCCGCTTTCCGGGCTCTTGGTTTGACCGCTTGTTCTTCTTTTCCCGTGCTCTAGGATTGTGCATGTGGGCGACCCGCGCGAAATGAAGAAGATCGCCGTGACCGACATCGCCGTCATGCCCAGCGCCTATCGCATTGCCGTGGCCACAACCAAGCGCGACCTCAGTTTCTATGAACTCTCCTCTGGCAACAGATCCCACACCGTCACGGGCCTGCATGACATTATTCATCGCCTCCACTTCCACGCCTCCGGCGCCAACTTGGGCTACCTCTTGTGTGGCGATGTCTCTGGCAACGTCCTCATGTTCAACTTCACCCAATGCAGCAAGCAGCTGTTCCCAGAGGAAGAGGGGCCCACGGTGCACGTGAAGCGCCTTCCCATCGGAGAAAACCCCACCGCGCTGTGCAGTCTGCTCAAGATCAAGGTCAGGTGCTTGACAGCTGTGTTTGATTTGAAACGGGGCGCGAAA